TCAGTTATGATTACAACTGAAACCGTTTAAATTGCAAAATGTTAAATCGATTAATTACCGATGTTTAATGATTTATCAGGCTTATCATATATCGATATTAATACGAACATTAGGGAGATTTTCGGGTCTAGTCTAGTCTATAGTCTAGTCTATAGTCTAGTCTATAGTCTAGTCTATAGTCTAGTCTATAGTCTAGTCTATAGTCTAGTCTATAGTCTAGTCTATAGTCTAGTCTATAGTCTAGTCCAAAGGTTCCCAAAATGGGGTCCGCGGACCCCTAGTGGTCCGTAGCAAAATCCTAGGGGGTCCGCGAAGATGAACGAAAAAAATCATGAATAAAAAATATTCTCTATATGTTACAAAATATTAAAAATATCTCCAAATTTTTTATAAATACTAAAATACACAATTTTTATTCAATAATCCCAGATTTGTTGGTGACTCTTTGAATTTTATTGTTTCGGTCGTTTATCAGGATGAAGCTAGGCGCTACAAATTTATTGTTTCACTTTTATAAAGTAAAGTATTACATGATTTGTAATTTTTATAAATATATATGTATCGAAATAAATGTTTTTATAGCAGACGGATAATGATTTGCCTTAGAATTAAATACTGGTATCCCGGAATATGAAGTTAGGTCACATTTCATAATATTTTTTTTAAATTGTAAGCAAAAGTGTTAATCTAGTTAATTTTAAATATAAATATTCCATTCCAACGTGATACACAGATTTTAACTTAATTTTGTTGTCCAATATTATTAAATCAACATCAGAAAATTCATAGCGTTTTGCGTAAATAGTCAAAACCACGCAGTAAAATAATTCGTAGGTATTTTAAAATTCAAATTTAAGATCCAAATTCACAGTACATTCGCAAAGAGTTCAGGTCATATTTTATGTGGGTAACGCATTCCGCAACAACATCGAAGAAGTCTAACTTTCACATATTTTCCCGAAAACTTAGCTTACATACTCAGCTCACTCCTATGCAATCGCAAAAAAATTTAGAAACATGACTCTTTAAGCACATGTCGACAATACTTGTTAAAGAAACCTTTTCTCTACCTTGACGAGAAATGAACATGAAAGCTCTCACGATCATAAAATTAAACATCATGTTAGAAGTCATTCTATATTTAAAACCATGAAATTGAAAACATCTCCGAAATACTAAATGTTCTCAATGTACGGGAATATTTTATAGGGTTTATGGACCAGGACTAAGACAATTTTCGGACGAACAATTACACAGTGATACAGCAAAAAATGCAGGGGTTCTCATATACCAATTCCATTTCGTTATAGTCCATAGAGTAGGAATTTATTTTTAATTTTTCCCGATCACTTCGTTTAGTTCCTTTTTAAGAGCAAAAGTTGTGAAAAAGAGCTATTTTTGAAGTTTTAACTTAAAAAAAAAAAATATATGTTTGATAGTTTGCAACCGATTTTCAAATTGGATATTTTGTTTTAAAGATACAAGTGTTGTCTTTCAACCCAAAAAAATAAATCCAAAATTTATGATTAATGTCTTGGTTACGGCCATTTAAGTAAAAAAACTCACACTTTTTTCACAATTTTTATACCCACCATCAAAAAAGATGGGGGGTATATTGATTTTGTCATTCCGTTTGTAACACATCGAAATATTGGCCATAGACCCATAAAAGTATATATATTCCGGGTCCTTATTAAATTCTAAGACGATCTAGCCATGTCCGTCCGTCTGTCTGTTGAAATCACGATAGGGACCACACGAGAGGAGCTAGACAGTTGAAATTTTGCATAAATATTCTCTATTGCTAAGGTTTGTTTGGTATTGAAAATAGGCAATATCGGTCCAATTTTTCGGATAGCCCCCATACAAGTGGACCTCCAAAAAACAGCTTTAACGGACATAACTGCTTCAGAAGTACGAGTATAGGGATGAAATTCGACATAAATAAGTTTCATATGAGCCAAAATCTTTCTACCAAATTTTTTGAGGATCGGCCCATAAATGACCCTACCCCTAATATATGGTCCCCTTCAGAAAATTACTTTAACACTCATTACTGGCCTAAAAATTCGAGTATAGCGATGAAATTCGGTATAAGTAAGTTTCTTACGAACCAAAACCTTTTAACCAATTTTTTTTAGGATCGGCCCATAAATGACCCCCATATACGGTCCCCTTCTGAAAATGACTCTAACACTCATTACTGGTCCCAAAATGCAAGTATAGCAATGAAATTCTACATAAATAAGTTTCATGTGAGCCAAAATCTTTCTACCAAATTTTTTGAGGATCGGTCCATAATTGACCCTACCCCCATATAAGGTCCCCTTCAGAAAATGACTTTAACACTCATTACTGGTCCAAAAATGCGAGTATAGCGATGAAATTCGGTATAAGTAAGTTTCTTACGAACCAAAATCGCTCGACCCTATCCTCCATCTGAAAATGACTTTAACGCTCATTACTGGCTAAAAATTACGAATATAGCAATAACATTTTACACAATTAAGTTCCTCGCGAGCCAAAATATTTTTAATAACTTTTATGTGGATAGGTCCATAATTGGCCCTACTCCCCCTATTGGGTCCACTTCAGGAAATAGCTTCAACGCTCATTACTGTCTTAAAAATATGAGTAAAGCGATGAAGTGCTACACACTTAAGTTTCTTACGAGCCAAAACCTCTGTACCAATTTTTTTTTTTGGATCGGCCAATAAATTACCCTTCCCGCATATAAGGACCACCTCTGCAAATAACTATAATGCTCATTACTGGCTTAAAAATATGACTGTAGTGACGAAAATTGATGCACATAAGCTTAATGCGTGCCAAAATCTCTCCACCAAATTTAGGGAGGATCGGTCCATAATTTACCCTACCGCCCTTCAGAAAATACTTAAACGATCATTACTGGCTTAAAAATATGAGTTATGAAATTCGCTCCGAATTTCATGCGGAATGTGTCGGTAATTCACTCTACCCCCCATACAAGCCCCCTTCATAAAATTACATTAACGTTAATTACTGGCATAAAAATTCGAGTAAGGCGATGATATTTAATGTAAACAAGTTTTATATGAATCAAAATCGGTCTACAAAAAAAGTTATGAGGATAGGTCAACAATTGACCATACCCCATATGAGTTCCTCTTTAGAAAATTTTATGAAGAAAATTCAGATAATTGGAAGTACAGCGATTAAAATCGACATTAAAAAAGTTTATACTTAGGAACATAATTCTTCATTCCGAATTTAATGAGGACTCATTTATAACTGACCCTAGCCCCTATAAAAGGTTCCCTTCAGGAAAGAGTTTTGGTTATTGAAATACGAGTTTTCCTTATTTAAAATAAGAGTATAGCGCTGAAATTTTGCATAAACAAGTTCTATACAAACGAAATCTATGTACAAAATTTTATGAGTATCGGTTCATAATTAACGCATATAAAGGTCCTCTTCAGAAAATTACTCATACGCTCACGGTTTAAAAATTTAAATAAAATATTTGGTTTTTAAAAATTAATATTTTGTTAGTTCAAAAGAGCTCGGTCCATAATTGACTTAAGCCATATTCCAAATATCACCCTGATGTTTATAGGGGATCATTCCTTTTATGGCATACAGTTTGATGGTGGGCTCAGCCGAATATAACAGTCTTACTTGTTAATTTTCATACTGCTCTACGTTGGCCATGAAGCAGTAACTTTAGCTTTTATTACATTTGAAAAAAGGCACATTAAGTTGGGTTTCCAATGATGGTCAATTTATGATAATCGATGAAAAAGGTTATGAGTTGTGCTAAGTTTTATAAAAATATAGCATATTTCTTCCATACAAAAACGTTCATGTTTCTGGTTTTCTTTGTAACAAGTTTAAAAAATGTTTATATATAAATGTTTGTATGGAGAAAACCAAAAATTCGAGAAACATTCTATTAGAAAAATTGGCATAAATCATCCAGTTTTTCATAGATTTTTATGAAATAACAAGTTTTAGAAACCTTCCTTTATGTGATTCTTCAGGAAAGTAATAAAAGATGAACTCACTGCCTCATGGTCAAAGTAGAGCATGATGAAAATGAAAATTTTTTAAAAAAGTGTGAGTTTTTGACATTTGACCATAAATTTTGGATTTCTGTTTTTGGATTAAAAGACACTTGTATCATTAGAAAAAATATCGGATTTGAAAATCGGATGAAAACTACTAAACTTATGATTTTTCAAATTTAAAACTTCAAATATGGCTCTTTTTCGCATCTTTTGCTCTTAAAAAGTACTCTATGGACTATAACGAAATAGAATTGGTATATGAGAACGCCTGCATTTTATTTTTCTTCACTTTTGTATCACAGTGTTATTTATAACAATAAGACATCAAAATATGTATGGGGGTCCGTGAAATTAAATAAATTCCTCAAGGGGTCCGCGAAGTAAAAAATGGTGGGAACCGCTGGTCTAGTCTATAGTCTAGTCTATAGTCTAGTCTATAGTCTAGTCTATAGTCTAGTCCATAGTCTAGTCTATAGTCTAGTCTATAGTCTAGTCTGTAGTCTAGTCTATAGTCTAGTCTATAGTCTAGTCTATAGTCTAGTCTATAGTCTAGTCTATAGTCTAGTCTATAGTCTAGTCTATAGTCTAGTCTATAGTCTAGTCTATAGTCTAGTCTATAGTCTAGTCTATAGTCTAGTCTATAGTCTAGTCTATAGTCTACTCTATAGTCTAGTCTATAGTCTAGTCTATAGTCTAGTCTATAGTCTAGCCTACAGTCTAGTCTATAGTCTAGTCTATAGTCTACTCTATAGTCTAGTCTATAGTCTAGTCTATAGTCTAGTCTATAGTCTAGCCTACAGTCTAGTCTATAGTCTAGTCTATAGTCTAGTCTATAGTCAACAGTACTTGACAAAAACTCATTAAATTATTATTTTTCGTTTTTTTTCCAAAATAAAAATTCCTTTATTTTTACAAATTCAATATTCATATTAATAAGTAAATATAATTAATAACTTTTACATAGTTTTTTTTGTTCTTTCTAAAATTTGTTCACTAAACAATAAACTTAAAAATAGTGTAAATATTTGCACATTACAGTTTGTTATTGTTGTTTTTTTTTTAATAAATTAATAAATAACAAAAATAAACATACGTTAATATTTCAACAAAAAATTATAAAATAATAAATAACTTAAAAAGTAACAACAAAAAAATTAATTCCATAATAAAATAAATTTAAACAAGACAACTAATTTGTATTTTACTACAGATTAAGTAAATATGTATTTTTTTAAACAAAATGTTAACAATCATTTGGAAAATTTTTTTTAAATTTTAAAAATCATTGTAAATTCATAAATTAAAAAATTTATTTGTTAACTTCCTTAATGTTTTATTACGTATACCAAGTAAACTTAACTATTTCCGATTTAGTAGGGAGGTTTCATTTTATAAACTAAACATTTTTTTCAATATATTTCATTTGTAGTTTGGTGTTAAGCTGTTTTATATACAAATTAAAAATTTATCTAAACTATAGACTACAAGAAACTTTAAATTACATAAATTATTACAACTAAAACAAAATAAAATAATAACTAAATTATCTCTGCCTGTCATTAGTTTATTTATCACCGCCCAACCACATTTGAATTTGGGCAGAACTTTTGCCTTTTGTCTCCAACACCATTGTGTAGACATAAATGGTGGCGATAAGCATGCATAAGGCAAAGAACCAAAAAGTCATATCGGAACCCCAGGCGGTGATCATGGAACCAAAAGTTTTTGTCACACAAAATACCGAAAACCAATTGGACATGACCGTAAGAGCCACAGCAGTGGCTTTAACATCAGGCAAAAATAGTTCACCCATCATTAGCCAGGGCACTGGACCATAACCCACCGAAAAGGTTACCATAAACAAGACCACACAGAGTAGTGGTAACCAGCCCAAAGAAGAAACGTCTTTACCGTTATCCTTCATATTGAAATAAGCACCCAAAATGACCAAACAAATGGTTACAATGGTACTACTGAAAAGCAACAAAGATTTACGTCCAGCTCTTTCAATCATAAAGGACGAGGCCAAAGTCATAACGACCTGAACAAAACCCACAATAATTGAACAGATTGAAGGATCTAAAGTACTGCCGGCTGACTGGAAAATAGGTACTGTATAAAAGATGACCGCATTGACGCCTGAAAACTGCTGAAAGAACATGAGCAGCATAGAGATGATCAGACCACGACGTGCCGCAGGTATACGGAAAAGATCCATAAATGAGACATTACTACCGGCCTGATCCAATTCTGCTTGAATTTGTTGAATGGCCGAGCGTGAATCACAATAACGACCCCAGAGAAATTTAAGAGATAAAGCAGCATCACCACGACGACCCTGGAAATAGAAAGCGAGGGAAATAAAATTGTTACGATTTTCGAGTAAAAAATAAATGTTCCGATTACGGACCATGTTTTAAGACTTCTTAAAACTTCGTCAAAGAAGTAAATAGCTTTTTTAAAATAAAAAAAAATATTCTGAATATGTGGGTTAATCTCCTACGAACAATACTACTGATAAAATAGGCTATAGAATAGACTATAAAGTAGAATATAGACTAGATTATAGACTAGACTATAGACTATAGGCTAGACTATAGTCTATAGTCTAGTCTATAGACTACACTATAGACTAGACTATAGGCTACACTATAGTCTAGACTATAGACTAGACTATAGACTAGACTATAGACTAGACTATAGACTAGACTATAGACTAGACTATAGACTAGACTATAGACTAGACTATAGACTAGACTATAGACTAGACTATAGACTAGACTATAGACTAGACTATAGACTAGACTATAGACTAGACTATAGACTAGACTATAGACTAGACTATAGACTAGACTATAGACTAGACTATAGACTAGACTATAGACTAGACTATAGACTAGACTATAGACTAGACTATAGACTAGACTATAGACTAGACTATAGACTAGACTATAGACTAGACTATAGACTAGACTATAGACTAGACTATAGACTAGACTATAGACTAGACTATAGACTAGACTAGACTATAGACTAGACTATAGACTAGACTATAGACTAGACTATAGACTAGACTATAGACTAGACTATAGACTAGACTATAGACTAGACTATAGACTAGACTATAGACTAGACTATAGACTAGACTATAGACTAGACTATAGACTAGACTATAGACTAGACTATAGACTAGACTATAGACTAGACTATAGACTAGACTATACTATAGACTAGACTATAGACTAGACTATAGACTAGACTATAGACTAGACTATAGACTAGACTATAGACTAGACTATAGACTAGACTATAGACTAGACTATAGACTAGACTATAGACTAGACTATAGACTAGACTATAGACTAGACTATAGACTAGACTATAGACTAGACTATAGACTAGACTATAGACTAGACTATAGACCAATCGCAGGGGACAAGCCCTCATGGATTTCTTTAATACTAAAGACTTGATAACATTGAACTTAGGTAATAAAGCTACCTTCGTCAATAGAATCAGAGAAGAAGTATTAGATATAACTATATGTTCAGAAGAGCTTATAAACGAAATTCAGGATTGGAGAGTTTCGGACGAGCACTCCTTTTCTGATCATCGGTACATAAGATTCAAAATACTAAGGCCACCACCAAAGCCGATAAAGTTTCGGAATAAGTCTAAAACTAATTGGACAATGTTCGGGGCCTTACTAAAGAACCGTTTAGGTCAGGATACTTTTCAATGTCGAAATAAAGAGGATATAGATGCCAAAGTGGAAACGTTCACAAGTGCCCTGGTTGAATCGTTCGAGGACAGCTGCCCTCTGCGAGAGCGGAGATCTGCCCAGGAAAAACCCTGGGTAACTGGGGAGATCCGGAACCTTGGGAAGACTCTTCGCAAACTATTTAACCGGGCACGGCGTAAAAAGACCGCAGTATACTGGGATGAGTATCGTAATAAACTTGGTGAATATAAGAAAATCGTTCGAAAAGCCAAACGAGACTCCTGGAAACTTTTCTGTGAACAGGTAGATAGCGTAAATGACGTATCGAAGATAAAAAAATTCCTATCCAAAACTCATGTCCAACCGGAATCTATGATCGATGACACGGGCAGGAGGCTTGAGGATATGGAGGAGACAATGAAACTCCTAATGGATTCTCATTTCCCACCCGGTATATCGAATAACATAGATGAACCGATATTGGAGGAAGGGGAGGGTAACACGGAAATAGTTATTACAACTGACATGGTTAAAGGGGCAATCAAGAGCTTTGCTCCCTATAAAGCTGCAGGGCCGGATGGAATTTTCCCGGCACTTTTGCAGATGGAGGCGGGACTGGTTTCCGTACATCTGTCACAGATATTCACTGCATGCTTAAAATTGGCATATACCCCAGTTAAATGGCAGGGTGCAAAGGTAATATTTATACCCAAACCAGGGAAACCTAGCTATGCGACACCTAAGTCCTATCGACCGATAAGTCTTACGTCCTTCCTACTTAAAACCTTGGAACGGATAGTCGATAGCATGGTTAAAAGCAGCATACCATACAATGACCTTAAATATAAGCAGCATGCTTATGTAAAGGGACGATCGGTGGAAACCGCTTTAAATGAAGTTGTCCACTACATAAGTGAATCTTTCGATAGCAAACTGTATACACTGGCAGTATGCATTGACATCGAAGGCGCTTTCAATAACGTGCACACTGATACCCTTATCCAATCCCTAGACCAGTTTTATGTTGACCGGGTGCTCCGTAACTGGATCAACTACATGCTAAGGAACAGATGGATAAGCTGCGAGATGTACGATATAACTATCAGGAAACAGGTATTTCGCGGTATACCACAGGGTGGCATTTTGTCACCTTTACTCTGGGTCACCACGATTAATAGCCTCCTAAGGACCCTAACCGAGAAAGGACTTAGACCTGTCTGCTATGCAGACGATGTCGTAATACTTTTAAAGGGAAAGGATCCAAATTACTTGTGTAGAAGAGCTGAGGAGGCTCTGAATACGGCCTTGAGCTGGGCTCAACCGAGAGGCCTCAATGTTAACCCGGCGAAGACGGAAATCTGTCTTTTCACAAGAAAGACAAAAATTTCTACATATACTGAACCTTGCTTCTTGGGCAAGAAGATACCGGTGACAGACAAAGTTAAGTACTTAGGTGTAATACTTGACCGGAAATTAAAATGGAGACACCACATAGAGGATAGGATCAACAAGGCACATCGGTGCTGGGCGATATGTAGGAGAACCATAGGCATGAAATGGGGTCTTAGTCCTACTATGACAAATTGGCTTTATAAAAGTGTAATTAGACCAATTCTAGCTTATGCTTCAATAATTTGGTGGAGTGCTTTGGACAAAAAGTGTAATATCAAACTACTGCAGGGAGTTCAGCGTACATGCTGCTTGGGTATAAGTGGTGCCATGTGTACTACTTCAACCAAGGCTCTGGAAACGTTGCTAGATATTCCACCCATTGAAACATATATAAGATATGAGGCGGCGCTTACAGCCGAACGGCTCTTTACTTTAGGCGAACTGGCCAAAAACGGTTATAGGACACGTCATCAATGTATACTGGACACATTGGAAGGTTATACACATTCATCGGACGTGCCTGATCGCATACCAGACACTGAATATGTCGGAAACTTTGAAACGCTAATCCCAGATAGAATGTCTTGGTCAAGCGGAACATTAGAGCAAATACCAGTAGGAATCCGTTGCTACACGGATGGCTCTAAATTAGGGGACAAAGTGGGTCTGGGGTTCTATATTGAAGACCCAGAAACAGAAATATACCACCGTTTACCTAATCATAACACAAGCTTCCAGGCAGAAGTACGAGCAATAACGGAATGTGTAAATTGGATTAGAATAAATATGGCGCCCACAGGGCTTAATATATTTACCGACAGCCAGAAGGCAATTTGTGCGATATCAGGTGATAGAATTAAATCTAAGACTGTATTGGATTGTAAGAAAGCTTTAACTGAATACTCTCCCAGAGGTAAGGTTCACATCATATGGGTACCAGGCCACTCGGGAGTAGTCGGCAACGAAAGGGCGAATGTAATAGCTTTAAAGGGAAGGGAGCTCGATGTAGTTAACCTGACAAACGCAAAACCATTCGACGCAACAAAAGCTGAATTAAAAATATGGATGAGAGAATCCCATAAGGCCTCTTGGAATAATGAAACGGTGGGTAGAACCACAAAGATTCTATGGGGTGACCCTGATGAGAGCAAGACGAGAAATCTTCTCAAAATGAGCAAGTCTGAGGTTAGTATGATGGTACGTATTCTCAGTGGACACACAGGATTACGAGCACATCTATACAAAATTGGACGTGCGAATTCAGACGAATGTAGAGCATGTGGAGAGGACAGTGAAACTCTGGAGCACTTTCTTTGCCATTGTCAGGCATTCGTCGAAGTTAGATCCAAGTACCTTGGAAGTGATGTTATTCCAGAAATAACATTCTTAACCAACACCGATTGGAAGATTCTTAGGAATTACGTCCAGGAAACTGAGTTTCTGAACATGGAAAAATAATACATTCAGTGAACAATTTTTTTTTTTTTTTTTTTTTTTTTTTTTTTTTTCTTGAATTGGAGCGCACAACAGGCCCGATAGTGGCCTAGGTGTATTTCTTCGGATTTGATGTAGTATACATCCTCCTATCAACCTACCTACCTACCATAGACTAGACCATAGACTAGACTATAGACTAGACTATAGACTAGACTATAGACTAGACTATAGACTAGACTATAGACTAGACTATAGACTAGACTATAGACTAGACTATAGACTCGATTGTAGACTAGACTGTAGACTAGACTATAGACTAGACTATAGACTAGACTATAGACTAGACATTAGACAAGACAATAGACAAGACTATGGACTAGAATATAGACTTGACTATGGACTAGACTGCTGACTGAACTGAAAGTTGTAATATTCTTAATCACCGAAATTACCTTCTTCAATAATAGACTATAGATTAGACTATAGACTAGACTATAGACTAGACTATAGACTAGACTATAGACTAGACTATAGACTAGACTATAGACTAGACTATAGACTAGACTATAGACTAGACTATAGACTAGACTATAGACTAGACTATAGACTAGACTATAGACTAGACTATAGACTAGACTATAGACTAGACTATAGACTAGACTATAGACTAGACTATAGACTAGACTATAGACTAGACTATAGACTAGACTATAGACTAGACTATAGACTAGACTATAGACTAGACTATAGACTAGACTATAGACTAGACTATAGACTAGACTAGACTAGACTAGACTATAGACTAGACTATAGACTAGACTATAGACTAGACTATAGACTAGACTATAGACTAGACTATAGACTAGACCATAGACTAGACTATAGACTAGACTATAGACTAGACTATAGACTAGACTATAGACTAGACTATAGACTAGACTATAGACTAGACTATAGACTAGACTATAGACTAGACTATAGACTAGACTATAGACTAGACTATAGACTAGACTATAGACTAGACTATAGACTAGACTATAGACTAGACTATAGACTAGACTATAGACTAGACTATAGACTAGACTATAGACTAGACTATAGACTAGACTATAGACTAGACTATAGACTAGACTATAGACTAGACTATAGACTAGACTATAGACTAGACTATAGACTAGACTATAGACTAGACTATAGACTAGACTATAGACTAGACTATAGACTAGACTATAGACTAGACTATAGACTAGACTATAGACTAGACTATAGACTAGACTATAGACTAGACTATAGACTAGACTATAGACTAGACTATAGACTAGACTATAGACTAGACTATAGACTAGACTATAGACTAGACTATAGACTAGACTATAGACTAGACTATAGACTAGACTATAGACTAGACTATAGACTAGACTATAGACTAGACTATAGACTAGACTATAGACTAGACTATAGACTAGACTATAGACTAGACTATAGACTAGACTATAGACTAGACTATAGACTAGACTATAGACTAGACTAGACTAGACTATAGACTAGACTATAGACTAGACTATAGACTAGACTATAGACTAGACTATAGACTAGACTATAGACTAGACTATAGACTAGACTATAGACTGGACTATAGACTAGACTATAGACTAGACTATAGACTAGACTATTAGACTATAGACTAGACTATAGACTAGACTATAGACTAGACTATAGACTAGACTATAGACTAGACTATAGACTAGACTATAGAGACACTAGACTAGACTATTAGACTAGACTATAGACTAGACTATAGACTAGACTATAGACTAGACTATAGACTAGACTATAGACTAGACTATAGACTAGTACTATAGACTAGACTATAGACTAGACTATAGACTAGACTATAGACTAGACTATAGACTAGACTATAGACTAGACTATAGACTAGACTATAGACTAGACTATAGACTAGACTATAGACTAGACTTAGACTAGATATAGACTAGACTATAGCCTATAGACTAGACTATAGACTAGACATTAGACAAGACTATAGACTAGAAGACTAGAATTTAGACTTGACTATGGACTAGACTGCAGAGGACTGAACTGAAAGTTGTAATATTCTTAATCACAGAAATTACCTTCTTCAATAAATATGTTGGGGTCTCCGGCAAGAATAGCATGCCCACAAACAAAGCCAATGGCACCATCAAACACAACACACTCAATGTGGTCCAGCTGACAACAGCACCAATCAAATACACCAATAGAATGCCAAAAGTCAACATCAACTGAAACAAAGTACCCAAAGTGCCTCTTATACTATCTTCAGCAATTTCCGAAATATACATGGGAGCAACAACACAGAAACTGCCAGTAGCCAGGCCTTGAAATAGGAAAAACAATCTGTTGTTAAGAATGGTTTATAGAAGTATTTTACAACTGTGTCTACCAATAGTAAAACGTGCAAAATATAACATGCCAGCAGATTTGGCGAAAATAATGCAAATCCAGGCGACAATAAAAGGAACATCCATGGCCAAGGCGGTGTAACGTCTACCAATGGCATCAGCAACATAACCTGGTTGAAAAAGAAATAGATTTTAAAAATGTAAGTCAATAGATTTTTTTTTAGATAATACAAACCAGTTATTCACTTAGTGAATGAGTATATGGTTTGTGTTATCATATTAAGCTATATTTCAGAGTTAAAACTTACCTGTTGGTAAAGCTGCCAAAAAGGCTCCTATAGCCAGCAAGGAACTAACCCAGGTCTCTATAAAAAAAGTTAAATGTTTATTATGATTAAATAGTTATATTTTGATATTATAATCGTATGTGCGGGGAATATGTCAGTTACGTGGTGTCAACATTTCATCGAATTACTTATTATATAACTTCGTGATTACATTTCATATTTGCTAATACATTTTCAATTGTCACTATTGTATTTTGCCATTTGTTTAATTTTGCAATCTTCATGGAATTGTTATTTAATTAAATTATCAAGGTTTTTACCCTTGATTGATTTTCATATTCTATTTATTAAATGATAAAAATATACTATTCAAGTTTCATTAAATTTTTAAGTACTATTCAGATCGCAATTGACTGTGGAAAATTATAGAACTGCTCAAGATAAATTCACTTGTCTAGGTTGGGTAATGTTTAGGGGAAATATTTTCAGGAAATTATTTCTAAAAATTTCTTTTAAGGTATTTCTTTATTTTAGAAAATAACTCATTTTTACTCTATATTATGATTTTCTTTCAATTTATATATACATAGATGTTATGGATACATAGATTTCTCATTTTTGAGGCAGTTTTGTCAATAGTTCCCTTAATACTCTGATGAAGATATGCCGTTATCAACTTTCAACAAAGTAATCTAAAAAACTTTCCACTTATTTAATAGGTATTAAATAATTTTTGGCACAATTTGTTTAACCCAAAGTATTTGTTTATTTATCTGCAATTTCCTATGTCGAATGCAGATAAAAATTAAATGACTAATTAATTTGGACGCCTTAAGTTGGTGACGTTGATTTGAACCTTTGGACCGATATCAATGTAGTAACAATAATCAAGCATTTCTATATGTATTTTATGTCTGATATATTCAACTTCTAACCTTCAAAGTACTTATTTACATTCAGATTCAGATCTCGTAAATAAGAAATTTACGATTTTTGATTCTAAATCTAATAGTTTGCCATGCTTACCTGGTAATTTCGCCAAGTGTTAATTGGGATTTCAATGTAACCTATGACAAATTTTAAGATTCTGGCTCTAATAGTTTCCTAGATATACGATTTTTTTGTATCATATGGGGGCTTGGCACCTCCCATATGAATTAACGCCCTTTTTTCTCAATGTTCTTCTTAAAAAATTTGATAATTCTACTTCTAATAGTTTTCCAGATAAAATAATTTCTATATTTAATTTATATGGAAGATGCCACGCCCCTATTGCTAGTCGAATAATTTATTATCCAAATGTTTACATGGATGTCAAAGTTGTTCTTACAAAATTTGGGGATTTAATATCAATTAGTTTCTCAGATATAACAATTTTTGTATGAGGTGTCATGCCCCCTATAGATAGTCCGCTAATTGTATCCCCAAATTGTTCTTGTAAAATTTTATGATTCTAGCTCTAACAGTTTCCCAAATGAATTTCTGTATTTAATTCATATGGAAGATGACACGCCCCTTATTGCTAGTCCGCCCATTTTTTGTCCTTGATATTCATGTTGCTACTAAATTGGCTCCGAAAGAAATTTGAGGACTCAAGTGTTAGAGTTTCTGAGATATGCAACTTTAAATACTTATTTTGTATGTCAGGAAAATTGTTCCAGCCGTTTAGCCGTCGAGAAATTTTTGTCCGTCTGAATGTTTGTTTAAAAATTTTTTCTGAAGATATCTTTAGAAGTCAAATAATTCTGTCAGGCATTCTATCGAGAAGTTTCCTTTTTAAAATCGGTCCACAAATAACGGAAATATAAGCAGAATTCCTAAAACAATAACAGATTTTGTCGCAATACTTTCCATCCAGAGATAAAAACGGCTTTTTGGTCGCTTAGTGGGATGTGAGTGGGATATGTAGCGAATTTCATCCCTATCGTAAAATATTGGTTTCAAAAGTTGGGTCATTTAACATGAAATCCCCATATATATATATATAAAAACTAGGTATTGAAGAATATCCGAAGCACTATAACTTGTTAAAGTAGCAAGAGGACTGAAATCGTAAGCTAATTTTACACATGAATATACCTTAAACCCGAGATTCGAAATCTGTCGATTGGTATACTTTAAGAAGGGTGTGAGATCAAATTGTTGTTCATTACCAATACCATCACATCCGGTTATGCATATTTAATACTAATAGTTTTTAAATTAAACTGATTCATAATTTCGGAAATACCTTAAGAGCCACTAAACAATTCAGTTTTAACACTTACAAAACTATTTGTATTAGAGGTTATAAACGATTTCTTTCTTCCAACTAGGCGCCCTAAAACATAAATATTTGTTTAATTTGTGTTTATTTTTACCCTAGTATTCTATTTACATACTTCAAACATTAATTGAAATTAAAAATTAAGATTTTTTTGCGATAAATCAACACTTCACTTAACACATTACCAATGATTCAGTTAGAAAAAGTCGTACGTAAATCATAAACACGCGTTGCAATAGTGTTGCATGTTATTTACGGCAAAGTACTATAATTTGAAGTGTTCACACATGTCAGTGGAAAACTAAAAGAATGAGTTCTTTAAAAAAATACTAAGTTCCAATAGATTTCATGGAAGTATGCATAACTTTAATACTCTGTTTAATAGTTAAATAATAGTAACACTAGAATTGCATTACGTTAATTTAATATAAAAGAAAATTATAGTTTAATGTATAAAGTATGCATGTATGTATATGTGTACTACGGTAGTAATGAAAAATCCAAAACGAGCAAATTTATTTATTTAATATCAAGTTTACATTTATAACATCATCCACAATTCAACACAACTCAAGTGCAAGTATAAGGGAACTTAACACTTCTGCAAACAAAACTCATCAATTGCAATACTGTACAGTTCAAATCCTAGAAATTTTATTTGGACTGTGATTTAAAAAAAATCGAACAAAAACAATTATGAAAGTATAGACGGCCATAACCGACTATGTACGGATGTTTAATGTGGGGGCTAGGACCGATCGTCATGGAAAGTTTATAGAAGAGTTCATAAGAAACTAATGATCTTTTTTATAGAAAGGTTAATCAGAGATTGATGATATTTTCTTAGTAAGGTTGATAAGAGATTGATGATCTTTTCTATAGAAGAGATGATCAGAGACTGATGATCTTTTTATAGAAAAATTGATCAGAGGCTAATGATCTTTTCTACAGAAAAGGTAATCGGAGAATGATGATATTTTCTATAGAAAAGTTGATCAGAAACTGATAATATATTCTTAAGAGAAGGTGATAGAAGAATTCATATGAAACTCATGATTTTTTCAATAGAAATGATGATGATCTTTTTATAGAAAGATTGTTAAGAGATTGATGATCTTTTCAATAGAAAAGTTGATCGGAGAATGATGATCTTTTCTATAGAAAAGTTGATCAGAGAATGATGATATTTTTTATAGAAAAGTTGATCGGAGAATGATGATCTTTTCTATAGAAAGGTTGATCAGGGAATGATGATCTCTTCTATAGAAAAGTTGATCAGAGACTGATGATCTTTTGTATAGAAAAGTTGATCAGAAACTGATGATCTTTTATATAGAAAAGATGATCAGAGACTGATGATCTTATCTATAGAAAAGTTGATCAGAGACTGATGATCTTTTCTATAGAAAAGTTGATCAGAGACTGATGATCTTTTCTATAGAAAAGTTGATCAGAGACTAATGATCTTATCTATAGAAAAGTTGATTAGAGACTGATGATCTTTTCTATAGAAAAGTTGATCAGAGACTGATGATCATTTCTATAGAAAAGATGATCAGAGACTTATGCTCTTTTCTATAGTAAAGATGATCAGAGACTGATGATCTTTTCTATAGAAAAGTTGATCAGAGACTGATGATCTTTTGTATAGAAAAGTTGATCAGAGACTGATGATCTTTTGTATAGAAAAGTTGATCAGAGACTGATGATCTTTTGTATAGAAAAGTTGATCAGAGACTGATGATCTTTTCTATAGAAAAGTTGATCAGAGACTGATGATCTTTTCTATAGAAAAGTTGATCAGAGACTAATGATCTTTACTCTAGAAAAGTTGGTCAGAGATTGATGATCTTTTCCATAGAAAAGTTTCTAAAGAAACTGATGATCTTTTCTAGGGAAAAGTTAATAAGAATCTGATGAACTTTTTCTATAGAAAAGTTCATCAGAAACTGATGATCTTTCTTAATTAGAAGTTGGTCACAAACTGACGATTTTTTATAAAAAAGTTAATCTGAAACGGATGATGTTGTCTATAGAAAATTGATAAGAAACTGACGATCTCTTTTACAGGAATCAGGAACTAATGATCTTTTCTTAAGAAAATTTTCTCAGAAACTGGTGATCTTTGGAATACTTTTTCTTAATCAAAAACTGATGTCCTTTTCGAAAGGAAAATGGATTAGTAAATGATAATCTTTTCTATAGAAAATTTGATCAGAAACAGGTGATCTTTTCTATAAATACAATTTGCTAGAATTACTTTTGATAATTTACAAAATTGGAGTAATACTGATTCTCTCCAATAAAATAGTGTAGGGTATAATAATGTGTAATCACTTGAAAAGTATTTACAAACAAAAGTTTCTATGTAATACTTTAATTGAGGCATTGAAATCATTATAGTATTTGGTTGACACTTGAAAATTTAATCACAGTTAAATTGAACAATAAATTTATTTTTGTTCATATTTTCCGCATTAATGCATTTGACTTACGTTGGCTTAGCGTCAATTGTAATTCTGACGTATTAGTATCGGTTGAATTACTAACTGTTGTATTTGTACTCGTATCAGGAGCACTGATTTGTGGTAGAACGGGTGAGGTCCAGGCAAGTGCTGTACCCGCTGAGACGGCACCAAGACACACTGTAAAAAGTAGTGGTGATATATTATTTGAGGTTTTTATTATGCTTTAGTTTTCCACAACTCACCTATCAGGGCAGCCACATATTGCATTTTCTTAGAAGTTTTAACCACGCCATCTTGGAGTGGATCATACAGCATGGGATTGCGGGCATTTGGATCACTATCTTCCTGGCTGACAGTCTGTAAAATAAAAATAATAAATTATTATCTTGATAATTTAAACAAGAAATAAATTAAAAATTCTTAATTTTTTTGAACTATACCACTGTGCATATTTGTTTATTTAAATTAACAATTTGCTAAAAAAGAAATCTAAACTAATTTATATTTTTGCTTCCTCCTAAGTACTTCCTTCTTTTTTAATTTCTTTTAAATCGATTAAGAAACAATGAAATTCTTTAAAACATTTTTTTTTATAAAAAATAACAAATTTCGGACTTTGTTCTTTAATTTTAAAAGTTCAAGTTTACTTGTTTTGTTATTTTCTTAAAATAAATTTTCAAAAAATACACACAATTTTAAGATAAAAAGAAAATTGCTTCTGTCTAAGGTATGCACAACAACAACAACGAAAACAACAATAATATTAAATAAAAAAAAAAACAATGATGTTTTGTACCACTGTAATGTCTAATTTTAAAACAAATTGTTGGCGTATTGCACGTGCTGAAAATAACAACAAAAACAAGACAGAAAGAGAGAGATAGAGACAGTGAAAAAATCTTATACGTCAGTGACTAAATGGCGCCAAAGTTTTAAATATTTTCAAAATTTTTTATTTAAAGGAACTGAAGTAAACAATATTTTTAAAATTTTAATTAAAGAAATTACATAGAATTTTTTTATTTATTTAATATTTTTTTAAAATAATATAAATTTTGCATAATTTTTAATCTGCCGTATCTTTTTAATTTTATTTTTGTTGTTGTTTTTTTTTTTTGTCTTTTTCTTCGCAATTTTATTTGGCTTTAGTCCATGTACGCAATAATAGATAAAACTTAAATTGTGGTGTTTTCTTGGTGACAATTTTTTATTCGTCACAATTATTTAACACTTGCGACAACCGTTTGTATGTCTATTTATTTTAAAAATTATGAGTAATTCTTTTTAAATTAGATCAAACTTGTACACTTTTTAATTGCTGAGACTAAAACTTTTATCAAGCTAATGCGTAATTTTTTGGAGTTTTATAAAATTAATTCTTATTCTTACAATTAAATTATTACAAAGAATGAATGAAAAAAGGCGCTTTAAAACCGTTTCGTTGAATTTAAAAAAAAAAGCTTATTTGATTCAGAATTTTTTGCGAAATAGTTATCAAAACATATTATTAAATTGGATTGCATATCTAGAATGAAACGATTTGCATCTATATTAAGAGGATGCTTTCTTTTTTAACAAAACTTAAAACAAAACTTTTTCTTAAATCGTATACAGTGGGTTAAAAGTAATCTGAATAGGCCAAAATCAAATTATTTATTTTTTTTTTTTGGTTTTTTCCTTTTCCTCGTCTAGAATTTAATATAGTTCTAGTTCAGTTCTACTACAGTTCTAGTTCAGTTCTAGTTCAGTTCTAGTTCAGTTCTAGTTCAGTTCTAGTTCAGTTCTAGTTCAGTTCTAGTTCAGTTCTAGTTCAGTTCTAGTTCAGTTCTAGTTCAGTTCTAGTTCAGTTCTAGTTCAGTTCTAGTTCAGTTCTAGTTCAGTTCTAGTTCAGTTCTAGTTCAGTTCTAGTTCAGTTCTCAGTTCTAGTCAGTTAGTTTCTAGTTCAGTTCTAGTTCAGTTCTAGTTCAGTTCTAGTTTCAGTTCTAGTTCAGTCTAGTTCAGTTCTAGTTCAGTTCTAGTTCAGTTCTAGTTCAGTTCCTAGTTCAGTTCTAGTTCAGTTCTAGTTCAGTTCTAGTTCAGTTCTAGTTCAGTTCTAGTTCAGTTCTAGTTTCAGTTCTAGTTCAGTTCTAGTTCAGTTCTAGTTCAGTTCTAGTTTCAGTTCTAGTTCCAGTTCTAGGTTCAAGTTCTAGTTCAGTTCTAGTTCAGTTCTAGTTCAGTTCTAGTTACAGTTCTAGTTCAGTTCTAGTTCAGTTCTAGTTCAGTTCCTAGTTGCAAGTTCTGTTGCAGTTATAGTTCAGTTCTAGTTCAAAGTTCTAGTTCAGTTCTAGTTCAAGTTCTAGTTCAGTCTAGTTCAGTTCTAGTTCAGTTCTAGTTCAGTTCCTAGTTCAGTTCTAGTTCAGTTCTAGTTCAGTTCTAGTTCAGTTTCTAGTGTCAGTTCTAAGTTCAGTTCTAGTTCAGTTCTATTCAGTTCTAAGTTCAGTTCTAGTTCATTCTAGTCAAGTTCTAGTTCAGTTCTAGTTCAGTTCTAGTTCAGTTCTAGTTCAGTTCTAGTTCCGTTCTAGTTCAGTTCTAGTTCAGTTCTAGTTCAGTTCTAGTTCAGTTCTAGTTCAGTTCTAGTTCAGTTCTAGTTCAGTTCTAGTACAGTTCTAGTACAGTTCTAGTTCAGTTCTAGTTCAGTTCTAGTTCAGTTCTAGTTCAGTTCTAGTTCAGTTCTAGTTCAGTTCTAGTTCAGTTCTAGTTCAGTTCTAGTTCAGTTCTAGTTCAGTTCTAGTTCGGTTCTAGTTCAGTTCTAGTTCAGTTCTAGTTCAGTTCTAGTTCAGTTCTAGTTCAGTTCTAGTTCAGTTCTAGTTCAGTTCTAGTTCAGTTCTAGTTCAGTTCTAGTTCAGTTCTAGTTCAGTTCTAGTTCAGTTCTAGTTCAGTTCTAGTTCAGTTCTAGTTCAGTTCTAGTTCAGTTCTAGTTCAGTTCTAGTTCAGTTCTAGTTCAGTTCTAGTTCAGTTCTAGTTCAGTTCTAGTTCAGTTCTAGTTCAGTTCTAGTTCAGTTCTAGTTCAGTTCTAGTTCGTTCTAGTTCTAGTTCTAGTTCAGTTCTAGTTCAGTTTAGTTAGTTCTAGTCATTCTAGTTCAGTTCTAGTTCAGTTCTAGTCAGTTCTAGTTCAGTTCTAGTTCAGTTCTAGTTCAGTTCTAGTTCAGTTCTAGTTCAGTTCTAGTTCAGTTCTAGTTCAGTTCTAGTTCAGTTCTAGTTCAGTTCTAGTTCAGTTCTAGTTCTAGTTCGTTCTAGTTTCAGTTCTAGTTCAGTTCTAGTTCAGTTCTAGTTCAGTTCTAGTTCAGTTCTAGTTCAGTTCTAGTTCTAGTCAGTTCTAGTTCAGTTCTAGTTCAGTCTAGTTCAGTTCTAGTTCTGTTCTAGTTCTGTTCTAGTTCTAGTTCTGTTCTAGTTAAGTTCTAGTTCAGTTCTAGTTCAGTTCTAGTTCAGTTCTAGTTCAGTTCTAGTTCAGTTCAGTTCAGTTCTAGTTCAGTTCTAGTTCAGTTCTAGTTCAGTTCTAGTTCAGTTCTAGTTCAGCTCTAGTTCAGTTGTAGTTCAGTTCTAGTTCAGTTCTAGTTTAGTTCTAGTTCAGTTCTAGTTCAGTTCTAGTTCAGTTCTAGTTCAGTTCTAGTTCAGTTCTAGTTCAGTTCTAGTTCAGTTCTAGTTCAGTTCTAGTTCAGTTCTAGTTCAGTTCTAGTTCAGTTCTAGTTCAGTTCTAGTTCAGTTCTAGTTCAGTTCTAGTTCAGTTCTAGTTCAGTTCTAGTTCAGTTCTAGTTCAGTTCTAGTTCAGTTCTAGTTCAGTTCTAGTTCAGTTCTAGTTCAGTTCTAGTTCAGTTCTAGTTCAGTTCTAGTTCAGTTCTAGTTCAGTTCTAGTTCAGTTCTTGTTCAGTTCTAGTTCAGCTCTAGTTCAGTTGTAGTTCAGTTCTAGTTCAGTTCTAGTTTGGTTCTAGTTCAGTTCTAGTTTATTTTTGTCTTTCGACTAGCACTCATTGGATTACCCATACTCATAGACTGAATCATGATTTAACTAAGAGAATGGATTATGGGATGGATAATAGAGGAATTATTGTTTGTCAAAATTCTGTTAAAATCATACATCTTGCTTACATCGCAAGTGAGTGGAAAGTGCAGAACCAATTTTTAACAGTATATTAGAATGATATTAGAAGCTGTTGGACTCTTCCTTTTAGTAATTGGATTTGTAATTTTTCAGCATACTGAAATTGCTTCGGAATATTATAGCACGCTATAAATATTAGCGGATGAGATTCCGTCAAAAAATACTGATTCAAGACCAGCGACGTAATTTGGCCCACAAGACTTATTAACGTTGTGATCCTCCTAACTCCACTAAAATGTGCAATAGAAATAATATTTTTGGCATGGTTACCGACAATCCTTTCAGTTTGGGCAGTGGTTAATTGATTTTCGATAAACGAGATTTACTAGCTTTATCAATCGGGAAAGTTCGGGTTGCCTATTCATAGTTCTATTCCAATTCGGTTCTGTTTCAATTCTCGTTAAGTTCTAGTTCTATTTTAAATAAGTTATAGTTAAGATTGAATTAAGTTCTCTTTTGAACCGAAATATTGTTTATTAATAATGTGTTTATTGGTTTAAATGGTGTTAAACAAGATTATGACAATATGTATTCAAAATATTAGAATTTTAATGCTTGACTTATTATTTCGCACATTTAAACAAAAATATTTTGAAAATTAAATATTATTTTCCTACGATTTTTCTTTAGTTAAATATTTTAAATCTATTTTTAGGATCCTACAGCTGCTTTTGTAAATTAAGCAAAAAAAAAATAACTGCAAAAACAAAAAAAATAAATAAAATTTTAACAATATTATTTAATTTATAAATGTCTAACGAAAGGGGTGTGTACAAGTTCGAAAATATTCTGTAAAAGTAGGAGTGTATTCTATACATGGGGGCATGGATGGATGAATGGATGCAACAAAATTTACATAAAAATTAAAAATACATAAACAAACAAAAAATAATTAAATAAATTAATTTACCTGCCACCAACGCGCCATGGCCCGTACAACTTTGTCCGAATCCATTTTTTTTTTTTTTTTTTTGAACTTTTGATAAAATTATATAATTTTATTTAAAAAACAGACAAAAGCTCTTAAGGCAATTTTTCAAATATATTCCTTTTTTTGACAAATGTTATGTAAAATTATTTAATTTTATTTTAATATAAAATAAATTAAATTTTACTTTGATAAAGAAAGTTCGTTGAGAATTTTTTAATTATAATGAAACCCGTTTTACTTAAATTTATCAATATTTTTCAATATTCTATAACATTTTTATACAAAATTTTAGTTTAATTAACCGAACGAAAAGTTTATTTTTTAATTTATTTATTTATTTTTTTAATTATCGTGCTGCTGCCTCAATATCTGTTCAAAGACTAAATTTACTCTTCGAAAATTTTTGTTAAAAACTTTTATTTCAATTAATTTTCGAATCTTCTTCTTTTATATGCATTTTTACATTTTCTAAATAATTTTCCTTCTTCGAATTGTCTCTTAATTTATCTTCGTTTTTGTTCTGTTTATTTTATGCTTTTTTATTTTTTTATTTTCAAAATCGTAAAGATGATGCAGAAACAGAAATCTCAGAAATTGCAATGTTTTAATTTATATAAATTTTAATTCAATAGTATTTCAATTTAGTTTGTTTTTATTGTTGTCTGTGATTTACAAAAAAAGGAAGAAATAAAAAGAAATCGAAATATTTACCTCATAACAAAGTGAATTTTAATTGTTATTGACGTTAATTCATATTTATTTTAATTTACACTAAAATTCAATAAATCTTTGTGATTCATTTGAGGAGGCTGATTGGAAAATTTTGAAATCAGTTCATGAATTAATTAAATGACACAAATACGATCATGTGTTTTTGGACTACAAGTAATCCTTGTCATTTATTGTAACTTTTGAATGTGATATTATTTACTATTTCTAGTAAATCTTAAATTAGTTTGGTGATTTTTGTGACGAAATTATTTAGTTCCTTAGGCCGACACAATGAATAAAATTTTTAGGGTTTGCGGTGATTATTCATATGCTGTACCGTTTTTGAAACAATTATATTAAACAGACGAACAGACCCATAATCATATAGACACTTTTTTGATTTCTATACAAAATGAGTCGGTCGAATATACCAGAAATGTATACTTAAAATCGTTATAAGAACGATTCTATTGATAATTAGTAAAAAATATAACACTCGTCTTAGTTCAGTTCTATTTCAGTTCTAGTTCAGTTCTAGTTCAGTTCTAGTTCAGTTCTAGTTCAGTTCTAGTTCAGTTCTAGTTCAGTTCTAGTTCAGTTCTAGTTCAGTTCTAGTTCAGTTCTAGTTCAGTTCTAGTTCAGTTCTAGTTCAGTTCTAGTTCAGTTCTAGTTCAGTTCTAGTTCAGTTCTAGTTCAGTTCTAGTTCAGTTCTAGTTCAGTTCTAGTTCAGTTCTAGTCTAGTTCAGTTCTAGTTCAGTTCTAGTTCAGTTCTAGTTCAGTTCTAGTTCAGTTCTAGTTCAGTTCTAGTTCAGTTCTAGTTCAGTTCTAGTTCAGTTCTAGTTCAGTTCTAGTTCAGTTCTAGTTCAGTTCTAGTTCAGTTCTAGTTCAGTTCTAGTTCAGTTCTAGTTCAGTTCTAGTTCAGTTCTAGTTCAGTTCTAGTTCAGTTCTAGTTCTAGTTCAGTTCTAGTTCAGTTCTAGTTCAGTTCTAGTTCAGTTCTAGTTCAGTTCTAGTTCAGTTCTAGTTCAGTTCTAGTTCAGTTCTAGTTCAGTTCTAGTTCAGTTCTAGTTCAGTTCTAGTTCAGTTCTAGTTCAGTTCTAGTTCCAGTTCTAGTTCAGTTTATAGTTCAGTTCTAGTTATAGTGTATCGAAGAGTGGAGTGTTCTGTAGCAGTACTATTCGTATGTAGCAGAGGTCTTTCATATCATTTGCAATTGTAAGCAGAATTAAATTAAATGTTCATAAAAATTACTCCTTATATCATCCATTCTAGTAACATCGCAATGCACTGAATATGTAGGGATCATCGTTTGAGTACTGGACCAAAAGAAACAAAAGAGTATTTAAAACGACTTTCGAATAATCCAACAGTCGAACTTTTATTGAAAAAGTCGATGTTATTGTAAGAAAATAAACAAATAATCGACTTATTGAAAAATACAAGTAAGAAATTATAGTCGGGCGTGGCCGACCATATGATACCCTACACCTATTGCGAATATTAAATGTGATTAATTTTAATAATTACGCATTTCTGTTAATCTTATATAGGTTCCAAATAATGTCTGTTCATGTTCGGTTGTATGCTGACTAGGAAAAATAGAAGACCGATTTTAATCATTTTCAACAGCCATCGTCAGTGGATCAAGAGAATAGTATGTGACACATTTTAACAAATTATATTCAAAATTGCGATCTGTTGCGTGCACACAAGTTTTACACGGTCACAAAGACGGACATAGCTTAATAAGGACAAATATTTTTGAGTGCTACAAACATCAACACATTGTGCCGACTTTTGGATAGATAGTAGTATATTAGACGTAGTTAAAAGATAAACGACCGAAATCGGAAGGTCCGGATGTATGGAGGCTAAGGCAGAAATTGAGCCGATCCTTATAAAATGTATTATTGGGAATTATCTATATACATATATAAAAATGAATGTGTGTTTGTTTGTATGTTTATATGTTTTTGTGTTTATATGTTTGTATGTTTGAACGTTATATACTACTAAACGGCTAAACCGATTTTCTTCAAATTTTCACAGCACATTCGTATGTCTGGCAATAGGCTACTTTTTATTTCCGATCATGGCGAAAAATGACAGTGTTATTTATAATTACATATCAAACTCAGTTGTGCCAATTTTTGAGCTAAGAGGCCCTAATCGGTAGGTCCGGTTGTATGGGGGCTAGGGCAAAAATTGGTCCGATCCTAATAAAATTTAATGTCGACATTTTATATAAAATCTATTTGCGGTAAATTTCATATTGATACTAGTGTTTATAAGTGAATTGTGGACATTCAAGTCATTTCCTGAAGGGGATTTTGTATAGGGGATAGGGTCAAATAATGCCCGATCATTATAAAAATCGACAGTGTTATTTATAATTATATCCAACTTAGTTGTGCCGATTTTTGGAGAGATAGTAGTATATTTGACAAAGTTATGAGCTAAAAGGCCCAAATCGGAAGGTCCGCTTATATGGGGGCTAGAGTAAAACTTGGTCCGATCCCTATAAAATTTATTGTTGGGAATTATGTTTATATAAAACTCATTTGTGCCAAATTTCATCGTGATACTACTGTTTATAAGTGAATTGTGGACATTCAAGTCATTTTCTGAGGGGGACTTTGTATGGGGGCTAGGGTCAAATAATGCCCGACCTTTACGAAAATCACTAGAATTATTAAGACATATATAAAACTAAACTTTTCCAATTTTTGTAGAGATAGCAGATCATTTAACATAATTATGAGGTCAAAAGCCCTATTCGGGGGGTCCGGTTGTATGGGGGCATCAAATTATCTCAAAAATTGCGACCTGTAGAGTGCGCACAAGGTTTACATGGACACACAGACAGACAGACAGACGGACGGACGGACGGACGGACAGACGGACATAGCTTAATCGACTCAGGAAGTGATTCTGAGTCGATTGGTATACTTTAAGGTGGGTGTAGGACCAATATTTTTGGGTGTTACAAACATCAGCACAAACGCATAATACCCTCCCCACTATAGTGGTGTAGGGTATAATAAGAAGTGAAAAAAGTTAGACTATTTGCTGCAACTATAGGACGTTATTATATAGTACAGTGAGGTAGATTGACAAACGTATATTAAACATTTTACTGATCACCTACAATCGAGGTGATTTTATTGATCACCTATGATCGTGTGTATTTTTCTAAGTGGCAGTAATGTGACGCAGTATCTTTTGTTTTAAATAATTAGACCAACTTATTTTTGGTGGTGTCGACTTTTTACTATTATTTATTATTTAATTTGATGAGGCATTACATTAAAAATTTCTGATACAATGCCAAAAAATTATAAATATACATACATAGATATGAACATTTATTTGTTGTTGTGAATTTTTATTTAACAAATACACAATAAATCTGCATCACGTGCAACAAATTGTTTACAAACTTTTATGCTTTAAAAATAATTATTGTTTTTTTAATGATATTTAAATTGTATAGAGTTTATTGAAATATTTTTCGCCATTTGTTTATCATAATTATAATTATTATTTTTATTAGAATTTTAAATTTGTTTTTTTTTATTATACAACAAATCTAACGTCTAGTCATAATGTTGACTTGTAAGAAACTTAAAAAGTTCTATAAAGTTTTTTTCTTAAATTTCTTTATTTAATGATGATAAAACGTTTCGAAATCACGTTGAATACTGTAAAATAAGAAGAAATTATTTAAATTTGTTCATTCATTCATATGCTTTTCGTCTCATTCAAATTTGACCAGTGTCATTTTTGTCGGATTTTCATACTTGGCATAAGTTTACACTTTTCAATTAAGTTGCATTTTGTATTATTTACACAATCGGTCATTTAAAGGAATTCAAACATTAAAGAAGTGTTACGAAAGAGCATATCCTGTCGAAGAAGGACGAATATATAACAAATATGTAAAGACAACAGATTTGAATTTCAGTTGACATAACAAATTTTGCAAATAAAGGTGTCTTTGCGCTATTATAACATCGTAGTACTATCTTGACTGATGGCGAAAAACAATGAGAAATAATAGACCGACTTCAATAAAAAAAATTGAAATGCATAATTTTAATTTATTAAACAATACACTCTTTCAAATTTCTTCCCCAACAGCAAATTGATTTACATTTTAAATTACATATTTACAAAATATTTCAATTAAAGTCGACTAAATTAAACAAAAAATCAACGTCACAACAATAGAATTGCAAAAACAAAACAAGAAAACACACTGCATAAAACTAAAAAGAAAAGCAAACAACATAAAAATGGAACGTCAAAGTAGAGAAAAGAAAATTGTCGCCGGCACAATGTAAAAGAAAATAAAACTGTTTAAGAAAATTTCCCCAAGATCATTCATTAAACAAGAAAATAACCACAACAACAAAATATCACACTCAACACAACAATTGAACGAAAACACAAAAATTTTCCTCTTTTACTCAGAGAAACTAAAAATATTGGAGGCATATGATGTTAACACACCCACTTTTTATTTATTTGGGAAAACAACAACACACGTCAAATGACATGTAACACAAAAATTGTAAACAAAGCAACACGTACAGTTAGGTTATAAAGAGTACAACAATATAACCCTTCAAACATTTGCATGACCAAACTGTATACGGTTAAGTCACTTCTAGATGATAATAAATAGATTGTAAA